TTAAAATTTAAATAATTTTTAACAAATTTAATGGGTAAAGTTTATCAGTTGAACACTTTAATATAGTAGTTTCCTAAATGCTATTGATGAACTTTCAGATTAAAAAACAAGAACTTTAAAAGTATGCATATGCATTTTATTAAATCCCTAAATCAAAGAAATGTAACCCATTTAGGCACGTGGAATAAAAGACGCTACAGAAATCATCTTTGAGATGTCAAAAGATGAAAGAAAAGATTTCTACAGGACAATAGCATGGGGTCTGAACCGGCCTTTGTTTGCAGTTTATAGAAGAGTGCTTCGCATGTATGATGACCGAAACCATGTGGGAAAGTATGGAAATTTTTAATGTTGCATGTTTTCATGTAATCAGGAAAAAATTTACAATAGCTGTTTATGTCTTTAATATACATACAGTTGAGATCTAAGCCTTATAGTTTACCTTTGAAATAATAGTCTACAGTTCATATTCCAGGTCCATGTTGTGTTGTGGTTCTTGTATAGCCAACCTTACTTTACGTGGGCCTCTTATAATTTAGTGTCTAAACTTCCGTTTAGGTTAAGTTTAACATTCTGTTTATTAAAGTTGTCCTAGTCTTTAGTAAAATAACATTATAATAAAATGTTTCAGATTTTAGACATGTCACAACAATGATAAATTTATTGCAGCATTTCCTCCATTCATTTTTACAGTAAGCATTTCTCAAAATGGAAAATAATACTTCTTTTTAGTGCATGAAATTCTGCTATAGGTAGTGTATGTGTAAAGGAATTATTAAGATTGTGCAATCATTCTTAAATGAATATTCATTTTACTTTGGGAATTTTAATTGTAGTATGGCTAAGTAGATACTGTGCTAGTCCTGCTTTCTTTCTGTTCAAACAGCTTTCTGATAAGTGCACTTTTAAAATGTGAAAGAAGTGAAATTGGTTTTTTTTTATTAGTTTTAATGAACATTTACAGAGATTTTGGGTTTTCATTCATTCATTGTTGCACCCTTCTCCCCCCCCATTTTTAAATTTTACAAAGCTTCAGATACGTATAATCCATTTTCTGGGTAAAACAACCAATGGAAGTAACTATCCAAGTAGGGAAAAAAACCTTGCAGCAAACAATGACTTGCATGTTAGGTGCTCAATAAATATTTAGGTTTCAACATCTCCAGAATTGGAGCTGCTTAAAAATAAAAGAATTTCAGAAGAGTCTAAACTTCAAAAAAAGTTTTTATAGTAGCATTTCATACATTTCAAAAAATATATGAGGCATACCAGTGTCCTTTTACCTGATAGATATAAATTTATGTAATAGGTTATCCAGGGTACCCTATTACTTGCTTTTTCTTAGTATTATGATTTTGTGATCTATCTCCTAATAGCTCCTTCATTGTGCTGGTCTGCCAGTTGTCCATTCCATACTCTGTATAGTCTTTTTTTGGTTTTCTAATTTGTATAAATCTACAGATGTGAAATATTACCTGGTTTTAATTTCTCTGATACATATAAATTGCCATTTGTATTTCCTTTTTTGAAAGTCCTGTTTGTGTCATTTGCTAATTTTTCTTGTAAATTCATAGAAGCTCTTAATGTTTGTAGAATACTATTAGGAATTTACTTGGAAGCTCTAGTACTAGGAAGCTCTGCTGTAGTCCAACGAACGGCACAGTTCAAATCACCAACAGCTCTGCAGAGCATGGTTGAGCGATAGTCTCCTCTCATGCAGTTTACTGCCTCTGAAAACCTGTTAGAGGGTCAGTTCCAACTCAACGGCACACATCGTCATCATAACTTATAATTTGACATGCTAATCTTTCTCCCATGTAGTGGTCCGTTCCCCCCCCCCCCCCCCACTTAGATTTTACCAACAAAAGTTCTTTTCAGTAAGTTTTTGACACTTAAAAAAAAGTTTTTTGCCCCAGAAGCAGTCTCCTATATCATCATAAGATGTTATGAACATTCTTTGGTTGATGTTTACCTTTGACACTGGTTAACTTACCGACACAGCTTTGTTAGTTGGGAAAGAGCTCTTTGTAAGATACTATGCTTACCAAAAGGCCGCACATTTGAATGGGTTGAATCCATGAAAGAAAAATGAGCCGTTTCTTCCCATAAGATTTTCTTCCCATAAGCCTCAGAAACCCAATGAACGGTCACCACAGGTTGAATGCAATCACCCTCCATCACATTCATATATTCATCACATGTGAAAAGTACAGTTTCAAAGGTCTTTTTTTTTTCTCTATATATGGATAACAGTTGTCCCAGCATTATTTATGGAATGTCTTTTTTTCTTCCCTTAATTAGCAATATCTATTTTGGCCTAAAATAAGCTTCCACAAATTTGTAGACTTCTTTTATTTGTTCCTTGGTTAATGTTAGTCCTTGCTTAGTGTGAGGCACGCTAGTGTCTCTGTAGCATGTTACACCACTAACTAAACAGTTTTGTGTGTCTGTCTGGTGGTTTGAATCCACAAGCTGTTCAAGAAGCAGGCTCCTCTTAAGATTTACAGCTTCAGAAACCCCATTGAGTCACACGAAGTCCTAATTGGCTCAGTGGCAGTAAATATGAATTTTTATTTTGACTTCAGCATAGGACTGTCTTCAGAACTCCCTGGTGAGTTAGATCTTGATAAATGTATTGACTGCTCTTGATCCATTGCTCTTCTGTGACAGATTTAAAATTTAGTTACAGAGAACTATATCCCTAGTGAGCTTTTAACTGGGGTTGCATTGAGTCTGTGCATTACATTAGGGAGATTTTCTCTTGAAAAATCATGATTATGTAACTCTTCAGCTTAGTTACTATCTTTAGATAAAGTTTTTAGGATCCCCCCCTCCCCCCATGACTTGTGTAATTTGCCTGGGATTTGTTTCAAATCTCATTTAATTTTTATAGTATTATAAGGGACAACTCTTGAAAATTTATTTTATGTAAATAGTGCATGTGTGAGAGATAATTAACAATCCAGCAACCTTGCTAAAGTTTTCTTTTTTAAGTTAAATAATTTTTCCATGGATTTGGAGGCTTTATATATTGGGTCATCACAAATGATTCTGTTCCAGTCTTTATACTCCCCCCTTTAATTCAAATAAAATGGATTTTCCTGGTTTCTAACAGCCTTTTCATGTATAAATGTTGAATTTGTATTAACTGTTTTTTCTACATCTGTTCTAATTTCACAGTTCCTTTCTGTAAATCTGGTTTGTGTTTAAGTACCTTTTCTCCCCCTTAAATTATCACAAATTTGTATTCCTATGATAAACTCATTATTTTGCACTGTTACATTAATTCTTTTACGTACAGCCTGGCTTATGGTGCTAAAATACTTTTGGGATTTTCAGCTTTATGTTAATGAAAATTTCTTTAACTGTCCTCATCTAATTTTGCTATGAGTTTACTCTGGCATGGTAAAATGACAAAATATCCACACTAGATTTAGAGTCAGTTTTGTTTCAACTGTTTGGCAGAATTTTATTCATTTATTATTGTTTAATCTCTGCAACATTACTAGGTGTACATAATTTTTCATTTCTAACTTTTTTGTCAGAGGTTTATTTTTTCTATTAGTTTTAAAATGGATCTTTCTGAAGAACCAACTTTTATTTATTCTCTATACTTACTTTCCAGTTCTAATAATTTTAGTTTTTTTCTTTTTATAAACTTATTTA